TCCTCCAAGGCCAAAAACAGCACAGGTGGAGCCTGGTTTTACCTGCACAGATGGGAGCCTGTGAGTCTCCAGCAGCAAGAGCAGGAGGAGGAGAAGGTTTCGTTTGCACAGGATTGATGAGCATGTGAGGGTGACCCTGGGGTGCTAAACACGCCTGAACACCAACCTTGGCTGTGTTGATGGCAGCCCCATAGCCTGTGGAAAACCCACAGCCAAACAAGCAGACTTTGTCTAGAGGTGCTGCAGCATCTATCTTGGCAACAGTGTATTCTGGGACCACAGTGTATTCTGCAAAGGTGCTGACCCACAGGAAGTGATGGATCTGCTTCCCTTTGCATGAGAAGCGGCTGGTCTTGTCCGGCAGCAGGTTTTGTGGTTCAGAGAAACTGTGGAGGAGATGCAAGTATGTATTTGATTGAGTGAAGCACTGATCTGTCATAAAGTCCATCCCATGTTGGTGTAGGGGAGGGCAAAGTAAACTTACTGGGACTTCTGGCAGAAGTTGGATTCAGGATTCCGGCAGAAGCTGCATTTCCCACACTGAGGGATGCAAAGTGGGATCACTTTGTCTCCTGCAACAAAATGGATCTCTGTTAGGTGCCTTTAGCTCCACAGTCCCTGAGGGCATTGCCTGTTTAATCACCTCTCCTGAGCTTTATGATGGTAGAAACCTACAATGAACCCTCTTGTTTCCCTGAGAGGATGAATGCTCCACTCCTCATTTGTCTACGTGGGGAACAGATTGGAAAATTGGACATGAGAGTCCAGTGCATTGAGTCTGCACTTAGTTTTTTAACCAGTGACTCAGGAGAAGGGAGAAATTTCTGAGCTCTTGGCAGAGCTCTGAGGACTGAACCCTGGACATGTGTTTGAGTGTGTGTTGGTTACCTGGTTTCACAGCAGTCACTCCTTCTCCAATGCTTTCCACAATTCCAGCTCCTTCATGGCCAGGAATAAATGGGAATTCCATATTAGGCAAGGAACCTTTCAAACCGTGCTCATCTGTGTGACAGATGCCAGTGGCCACAATCTGTTCGGAGAGGAAAGAGTAAATGGTGATTTCTAGAAATAGTCCAGACACTGTTTGTTTCAGTTTGTGGAAGGATTTTCCACAGAACTTCTCTGGGCAGTTAAGGTGATGGGTGGACACTGATCACTGGATTATATCCAAGCTACAGCCACAAGAAGAGCAGCTCCCTCAAGGGAGGAAAAAATTATTGAAATGTATTTTTACCTTGATACGGACTTCCCCTGCCTTTGGGGGTGCAACTTCCACCTCCTCAACAGAGAGCTTGCCCGGGGCCCAGGCAACAGCAGCCCTGCACCTGATAACCTGGAAACAACCAAGAGGAATTCATTGCAGGGAAAGGTTCTGTTACAGGGCTTGCAAGGGTTTTTCAGGGTGAAGAGAGAGATGAGAATGTTGACCTCATGTTCAGAAGGCTTGATTTATTATTTTATCATATATATTACATTATAACTATACTAAAAAGAAATAAAGAGAAAGTTCTCAGAATGCTAGTTAAGAAAAGGAATGAATAAACAAAGGTCTGTGTCTCAGCACAGAGTAAGACCCAGCTCTGCTGTGAGTGGTCAGTAAATCCAAACATTCACCCAAGACCAATCACAGATTCACCTGTTGCATTCCACAGCAGCAGATAACCATCGTTTACATTTTGTTGCTGAGGCCACAGCTTCTCAGAAGGGAGAAAAATCCTAAAGAATGGATTTTTCACAAAAGATGTCTGTGACAAGGTTCACCTTTGACAACTGCCCAGGACAGTTGTCCTACAATCACCAAAGCCAAGGCTGCACAACACGTGTCTGTGCACACTGCAGCACACACTTCCAGAGCTACACAACTGCCCTGTGCTGTTTTCTGAGGGTTGCTGGTTGGGTGGGATTTGGTGAGGGAGAAGAGACATTGGAGTGCTCAGCTGTATGCAATGCCAAACAATGTTCAGTAAACACTGGCATTGTGTGAAGTGTGAAATACAAAATGAAGTGACTGGTTCGTCTGGTGTACGGGGAGATGTGACAGCAACATGGGCGCTTCTGCAGGTTAAGGCAAGCAAGACAGAACTTTTAGTTTCAGTGAGCTGATGGTATCTAAAAAGAGGTTACAAAACAGTCCCAGCCTGGCTGGCAACTGGATCATTTCTCTCCTTGCCAAAAGGATGATTTATGTGTGACATGGCACAAACCCTTGCCTGATCAACTCAAAGCAGTTTGGCATCAGCAAGATGGGGCTTGCAGCCTGAAAAGGGTATTGCCACGGACAAGGCTGAGTGCAGGAGGTGAGCGGCTGAAGAGGGCACCACTGGAGAGCTGCGTTTGCTGCCAGAGCAGGAGCTCAGGGTGGGATTTTTGAGCAGGAGGGTGTTTTTCAGGGCAGCACAATTGCAAATTT